TCACCCAATCACCTTGCCAGGACTTTTCATACCTTTACAGGTATCACAGACAAAATCCTGCTGCTGAAGTGACTGCCTGATATCTGCACGGAAAGTCATGGCTGAGCCAGAGTCTGAACTTGTGTCTATCTGGAGCCTGAATGATACTACCTTCTAGAACATTCCCACAGAATCAAATGGGTTGGGGTGGGGTGCTGTGGGGAACCGGCTCCAAGGCAAAGAGGAAAAGGAGGGGCTCAGGAAATCCTGGCTGTGTGCACACACTGTCCTCATGGACTTGGAGCTATTTTAAGCCAAGGCCAGGATGCAGCCCAGAATGGGTTTGACGTTTGCTTTTGTTGTTGGCTTTTAAAGCACATTTTGCTTTCGTGTGTGTGTGTGTGTGTGTGTGTGTGTGTGCATACATGTGTGCACCCAACTGTAGAGGCCAGAGGTCAGCATTAGAGGTTTCCCTCAGTTACTCCCCACCTATATTTTGATGCAGGGTCTGTCACTGAACTTGGAGCTCACTGATTCTGGTGGAGATGACAAGCCCTGGACAGCAAGCCCTCTGGGTCCTTCTGTCTCCAACGTTCCACAGCACTGTAATTCAGGACCCAGCTTCCTATGTGGATGTTGACGATCCACACTCAGGTCCTACGCTTGTGCAGCAGGCTCTCTTCCGACGTGCTGTCTCTATGGCCCGTAAAATATGTTGTCCGCATCAGTTGGAGCCCCGGTGAAAACTGGGTCCTCCTACATTAAGCCTTAGACATAAACAAAGCAAACAAAACAAAAAAGCCAACCATCAGATAGCAGTGCAAACGTGCTTCAGACCTGGTGGCCAAGGGTCTCTTGTCCTGAGATCCACAGTTTGTTTACCCACTTCTTCCTTTCATTGTGCTGACTGGAGAAAGTTCCAGAAAGAGGGAACAGTGCTGTTGCCAAGTGGATGAAGGAGGAAGAAGACAGGAACAGCAGAAACTGGGGTACCCAACCCTGCAAAGGCCTGTATGGTTAATTAGCTATGACACCTCTGTGTATCCTGTGGGCCTCTGCTGAGAGGTGTAATCCATGAAGGCTCTGGAACCCTGTGCCATTTTGGAATATGGAACTTCCAACTCCATATCTCTGTAAGGAAATTCAACTCACAGAAGTTGGGCTGAGAATGCCCACAGGTCACAGTGTGTCGCTCACGGCTCTGGCATGCCAGGAGACCTTACACGGACGACTTAATTTCCCTGTGTTTATGCTTCCTAATCCAAAACGAATGTGATGATATAAACCATCCTGCAGGACTGTGGTGGGGGCAAAGAGACACACACAAGTGACTGATGGCTGTCCTGAGGTGCGCAGAGCACCATGCTGACAAGCAATGCTTTCATCCGCCGTGGCTCTGGAGATGGGACAGCCTGGGGGCTTGCGGGAGGGAGGGGAGGTTGCATCTTTACTACACATATCTCTTTTGATGCTCTCAGCAGCCAGTCCCTTAAGAAAAGCCTCATCACTGAAGTTTTCAGACAGAACGCTGAGGCTCAGAAAGGGGATTTTGCCCAAGACGGCAGACTTTGGAGACAAAGAGTCAGGGTTTGAGCTCCCCTCGGTCATTTCACCTGAGCCTATCCTCACACCTGCTGTGTAGTTTGGGGACGAAAACACAGCTGTGGCCGGACCTGAGACTGGGGTGCTGGAACATGCTCACTCAGGACGCCAGAGAAGGGGACTTCTTGTTACTCATGACGACCTGTGAGACTATCCAGGGACACAGAAGAGAGGCCATGGTATCCAGGGACTGGCGGGAAGAGACTCGCTCCAGCAGAGGCATGGCTGCTGTTTTGGCACAGCCTTTGAGTTATTTTCCAGGAGAGCATGCCCTAGGTATGTACAGCGGTGGGTGGGAGGAAGGCACGGGGAGAGCACCTGCTCAGGAGCCCAGGCTCTCACTTTATCTGCATAGCGGCCTCATGAAGGAACAATGAATGCACATTCCACAGAGAAAGTCCCTGAAGCTCAGACTCCCTTAGCACACAGCAAGGGTGCTGCTGCTGTAGAATAGGGTGAGGTGTACTTACAAGAGCTGAACTCTAAACCACAGGGGCACAACAGGCAGGGAAACTGAGGCAAGGCTGAGATTCTAGAAGAAAAGGTGGTGGTGGTGGTGGTGGTAGTGGTGGTGGTGGTGGTGGTGTGTGTGTGTGTGTGTCCCCCGGGGGGGGCGGGGGGTAAAACAAAAAAAAAAAAAGAAAAATTTTAGGATGAAATCAGATTCCTTAAATAGTTATCTTTATTTCAGGTTCCAAAAGACCCCAAATGGTAAGACTCCTCTAGCTTAGGTTGGTGTTCCCAGAATGTCTAAGAACAACGATGTAAAGGCCTTGTTTGTTCTCTTCCATTTTCTCAGTGACCACGGTCCGTTTTCACAAGGAAATGCTTTCCCCATTGGTGGAATTGTTAGTCTAAACCCATCGCTCTCTCCAGGGATGCCCATCGTAGGGAAGCAACCCGGGTAATGGCCGGCTCTCTTGAACACATTTGTTGTAAGGAGGTTGCTTGTTGGACCCCAGCTGCTCAGACTCCCGAAATAACCACGCAGAAACTGTATTAGTTAAATCACTGCTCGGCCCATTAGCCCTAGCTGCTTATTGGCTAATTTAACCCAGATAGAGACCAGGTATGGCTCCCACAGTGGTTGAGCTAGGGAGTAAGGTCACTTGATGCTGTTGAAGGGTGGTGGGCTGCCAGTCACGCATACTGCCTGGTCTCAGAGTAGACCGATTTTGAGCTAGGCATGAGCCAGACTCTTCACATCTTCCAGGTGTGTCTTCCCAACATCTCCTTGAAACAGACTGGTGGCCTCAGCTGCGACCAAGATGGAGCCTCCACGCAGGTGACCAGAGCCAAGCAGTCTTGATGGACTGAACAAGCCCCATGCTCAAGGAATTGCCTATTATCCCCACCCAGAGCTGAAGGGAAAGCAACCCAGGCCATCAAAGGGGAGAAGAGAGGTGAGAGTAAGCAGGAGGGGGAGGAAGCTGCTGCTTCTGTTGCCATGGAAACATCTGAGCCTGTGAGGGGTCTAAGAAAGGCAAGCAGTGCTTGCCACTAGCTCCTCCCAGGCAGTGTTACCAGCCCAGACTTCCTGTTAGACACAGACTCTGGGGCTCCATCCTCTACCCTTGATTTGGCCTTGGTAAAATCTCCAGGTCAGGGGTAGAGAGACAGTTCCATCAGGAGGGTGCATGCTTGCTTGCCATGCATGCGTGAGGACCTGAATTCAGTCCTCAAGGAGCCACATACATGACTGAGCACTTTGAAATCCCAGCACTGGGGAGGCAGAGACGGGCAAGTCCCCGGGATTCACTGGCTAGCCAGCATAGTCTGTCTGGTGGGTTCCAGGCTGGTGAGAGATCCTGCCTCAAAGAAAGGTGGATGGTGCCTGAGAAAAGACACTTGAGGTTGTCCTTTTGCTTCCACATGCTTGAACACATTCGTATACATGGCACACACACATGCACCTCCACATATACAAACACATGTGTGTGCATACATGCATACATGTACTTCCACAAATGCAAACACACATGTACATGCATACACTCGCACCTCCACACATGTAAACACACATGTATGTGCATACGCATGTGTACTTCCACACGTGTGCATGCACACACATGCATGTACATGCACACACATACTTCCACACCTGTGCACGCACACACATGTGCCTCCATACATGCAAACACGCATGCATGTGCATACACACACATGTACTTCCACACATGTACACACATACATGTGCTTACACACACACACACACACTTTGTGATGTACTTCCACACATGTACACACATACATGTGCCTCCACACAAGCAAGCACACATGTGCTTACACACACACACACACACACACACACACTTTGTGAAGCTAGATATTAAGCTGTACAATTTGACATCTGAGATGTAATTAAAGAAGCTGAGGTACAGAGGTGGACACCGAAGCCCTTCATACCATCTCCTCAGCCCTGCTTGTGGAAGTGGGTGTAGCCCTTTTCCACACACGGTCATTAAGGAAGACCTGTGTTTCCTTATTGATGAGCTACAAGGCTCCCTCTGAGCCCGGGAAGATTCCTTGGACTCCATAGCACTGACAACATGAAACAGCCTCCCACTTCTGGGCCCTTCCCACTGTTCTAGCCAGGACCAGAGCAGACCCAAGGAAGCAGGAAAGCAGAACCTCCCCCTCCCCATACCTCAGCGAGTGTAGCCTCCCTGTGAATTAAGTCTGGATGCCGTTATGCACCACCAAAAACTCGCGGCTCTCATCTCAGAAAAGATAATTCTCCAGGAGCGATGGACCTGCAGGTGATGCATCCTCCAGGAGACTGAGTCTTCTTTCTCGTGGCCCGAGGTCATGTCCCAGGAAAGTCAAGGTGACCCGTTCAAGTCAAATGACCTTTCATCTCTTGGATCAGGTGCCAACTGTGGGCGAGGCTTCTCTGGGTGACCTTTCACCCAGCTGGTGTCCTCCCGGTGCACAGCCAAGCCAGGCAGGCGGCACAGTGGCAGGTTTGGCCACACACCAGGAACTGGCTCCAGTAAAGACTTGGCAGTCACGGCAATACTCCAGGCAAACCGAAGAGCAGGTGGCTTCGCTCACCTGGTATGGGGCTCAATGGTCCCTGCCAAGTCCCCCTGGTCCCTCCAGCAACATGGCCTGGGCTCTTGTAGGATAAACAGGTCCCTAGGAAACGCCCCATTGACAAATGTGGATTCTGAGGGTGAGGGTTTCTGACCTGTTGTACTTCTCATTTGCCACAGACCCTGAGAAAGCTCCTGCAAACAGCTGTGGGGTGCCATTCTATCCAAGTGAATCACCTGCTTGCTGAAAACAAATTGAAAAAATGTTGGTGGAGCTTTTAATGTGTGACTTACCTCGCACCCTTGGCATCTCTAGTCCCAGGGAGGAGAGGCTGCTCTGACCTGAGCTGGGTCATGGCGGGGGGGGGGGGGGGGGTCACTGATCCCCAAAGAGTGGCCACCCTGTATTCTGTTCTTTATCAGAAAGAGTTGTCCCCATTTATGTAATATGTATATAAATTATGTTATATTAATTATAATCTCCCTGCAGGCTGTCCTGGGCCATGATACAGCCAATGCCCAGGGGACACTTACCAAGCTGGGAGACCATCCTGTCACCAAGACAAGCAGGACCAATTTAGGCAAACTGAAGGTAACACAGTGGCTTTGGGTCTCACTGTCTGGACACAGATCCTAGCTACACCATTTTCTGGCTAAGTGACCTTCACCTTGGAGCTGCTTAACTTTTCTGTGCCTCAGTTTCCCCATGGGAGTACTAACAGTAGCAGGCCCTAGAATGGGTGTGAGGGAAGCACTCACAACAGGTCCTTCCCACTGTAAATGTCATCACACCACACATTAGGGGAAACCGGCTTGGGCTCCACAGCAAGCGGCTCCCATTCTGCTGGCTTTCTCTTCCATCACCCACTGGTCCGTGGTCCAGGCTGTCCTATACTTCCGTGGAAAACATGTGCCAGGTCTCTGGGTTGTTTTCTCATCTTTGGCGCCGAGTTCAGATCAATCTCTTTGCCTGCTGTACCTTAACCCACCCCACCCTGCTTCTCTAAGATACCACTGCAGCCTTCCTAACTCTTGGCATTGCGGAGCTGTGTGGTTCTCCTGGAAGTCTGTCTGGAACTGGCTCCCTAGATTTGCTCTCTGCCCACGTGTCTGTCTTTGGTGGCTATACACACAACAAGTTCATATTTCTTTTAACCCAGCTTCTCGCCAAACTCCAACTGGGCCTTCTGGTCAACTTGTTTGCTTACCTACTGCCTTAGATTGGTGTTTTTAAACCATCTCCAGCTTTGTCTTCCCCCAACTCTCTTACCTCACAGAAAGCTCAGAACGCCTCAGGGTGATGCAGTTCTGGGCGGTTCCTGGTCTTTTTCTCCTGGCTCACATTCCCACCAGGGGAGCCCATTGAGTTTACCTATACTTGTAGATGATGGCCTGTGGTTGACAACACATTTTTTTTTGATGATTTGTTGAATTTAAGATGCTACAAAAATAATACTCATTCAGAAGAAACCATACTTTGAATTTAAACTTTCTCCTGGACTGGCCACAGTATGGCCTCAAATACTCTCTCACGTGCTGCCCAGCAACTCAGAGCTCCCCGAAAGCCACGTGGTCACGAGGAGAGGAGCAGTGTTCCCCAGCAGACTGTGCCACTAAGTTAGTTCTGAAGGTCGTGATAGGAAGCCACTTTCTAAAGTCAGAAAGGAGCCCAAGCATTGAGTTAGGGTATCTTAGAAACCAAAGACTTCAGGGAAGGTGAGCCACCACCCTGCTGAGGACACTGGCTTTGCTCCCACCTCTACTAGCTCATCTGAGGGGTGGTACAGGAGAGGAGATGGTCAGAGCGGAAGGAACATCCCTCCAGGAGAGGGCTACTGTCAGCCAGTGTGTGCCGCCACTATTCTGCCAAGCTGCTCTTCTCAGATCAAGTCTGCAGACCGACATGTGAGTTCCACTATCTTTCTTCAGTAATTCTGAGTCCTGTCAATCAGTCCCGCCCAGTGTCCCTCAATAATAACTCCTCAGAAGTGCTTGAATGCCTATCCATGCGTGTGTTTGTTAGGCAGTGGAGAGCTTACACTGAGGCATGAGGGAGGGAGCCGGTGACAGGGAGATGGGGAGCAAAGGGCTGTTCTTGCTTTCCAGAAGTCTGTGGATCTGGGGCACTGCCCGGGTCATCAGACAAGCTCAGGACAGGGAGGAGTCCAGTGGAGCCTGTGTGTCGGAACAAACCACATCCTGAGGTTCCCACTCCCTCACCAAAGGCCACTCCTTATCTGGGTCCCAGTGACTGTCCCTGCCTACACCCAACCTCCTCCTCCAACATGCACACCGTGTCTTCTATTCTTACCTTTCTTTTCCCTACACCGTGACTTCCATGCAAACCATCGTAAGCTTATCTCATCTCAGTGGGTAGTAAGGAAGCTTGCTGTGCAAACCAACAGACCTGAGTTCAGATCCCCAGCACCTACATTAAAAAAAAAGGAAGAAGAGGAATTCCACACTCAATCATGTGTGCCTGTAACTCCAGAGCAGGGGAGGGAAAGCTTAGGGGATGAGACCAATGGACTAAAGACAGAGACAGGATTGCTGGGGCTCACTGGCCACCCACCCAACTAACCAGCCAACCAGGCAAATAGTCACTGGATTGCTGGGGCTCACTGGTTACCCACCCAACTAACCAGCCAACCAGGCAAACAGTCCCTGGATTGCTAGAGTTCACTGGCTACCCACTCACACACCCAACTAACCAACCAAACAGACAGTCACTGGATTGCTGGGGCTCACTGGCTACCCACCCACCCAACCAACTAACCAACTAACCAACCAGCCAGACAAATAGTTACTGGATTGCTAGGGCTCACTGACTACCCACTCACCCAATCAACTAACCAACCAATCAGACAAATAGTCATTGGATTGCTGGGACTCACTGGCCACCCACTCACCCAACCAACTAACCAACTAACCAGACAAATAGTCACTGGATTGCTGGGGCTTACTGGTCACCCACCCACCCAACCAACTAACCAACCAACCAGGCAAATAGTCACCTTCAGGATCAGTGAGAGACTCTGTTCCAAGAGACGAGGTGGAGTGATAAAGCAGGACAACCGAATCTTCCCCGGTCTCCTCAGATCATACATGGACACATGTGACCCCCACACACACATACACCCTACAACATACACCACACAGATGCAAATTAAATGAAATAATGAAATCCAGTCCTGAAAGACAAAGAGCAGAACCGGAGTGGAAGATGAGAATCATGTCGAACATTTCCCGGCCAAGGGGAAAGGCCACAGATGATAATAAGATGATGCTTGCTGCCATGACAACCAGTCATTCAGCTGCAGCGCCATGGGTTTGGAGCCAATAACATCAATGGGACGCTTATTTCTCCAGCATGACTAGCATCCCTGAAAAAGAAGAAGCTGCAGAACAGAGGTCTTGGGGGCTCCACCAGTCAGAAGGAAAACCCTAGGCAGGGGTTGACCTTTCTTCCCCAGTCTGTCATCAATTATGATAGTGCCTGCAGCTCTGTCTTGTGTCAAACTCCTTATCTCTAGTAACAGATCTGGGCAGGACCATTGAGACTAACCAGGACCCAGGTTAGAAGGCTCTGGGGCAGCCTGGGGATCTTGACCTCTGCCTCTAGGAAGGACAGAGCCAAGGCCAGCACCAGGTAGTGTCTGTACTTGGGTGGGCTCGTTGTGTGTACATTAGCCAAGTCATCTATGAGGATTTGAAGGAAGCTGGTGCTGAATCTCGAATCCTAAAACAGTGGTCAAGAAGGGCAGGTAGGGAAGCCTCCTGGTGTGGTCGGTCTTCCAACATTGCAAACGAACATCATCAGGCTGACAAAGCGCTTGCAGCACAAATCTGACGACCTGAGCGAAATCCTTGGAACCCACGCGAAGGTGGAAGGAGAGCACTAGCTCCACAAAGTTGTCCGTAGTGATATTTCATTTGTATTTTAATAAATAAAGCTGGCTGAAGTTCAGAGAGTGAAACAGTCCCACTGATCAGCCTTACAGACCAGGCAGTGGTGACACACACCTTTAATCCCAGTAGCCACACTAGTTTGCCATAGAAACTGGGCGGTAGTGGTGCATGCCTTTAATCCCAGCCCTAGAGAGGAATATAAGACGGGAGGAGACAGCTCTCAGACACAGTCTCATTCTGAGATTCCTGGAGGCAGGATTGCCATTTCGGACCAAGGTAGAGTAAGAACCAGTGGCTGCAGCTTTGCCTTTGTGACCTTCAGGTTGAACCCCAATTTCTTTCTCTGGGTTTTTATTAATCATGCTGTCGTTGTCCTCTGTATAAACTGTGGCTCATATATGAGTGCTCACGCGTGCGCGCGCATACACACATACTCACACGTACACACTAATGACAACATTTTTAAAATGAGAAAAGTAAAATGGAACCCAAGATGTTATCATCTGCAGAGTTCATACTTGATAATCATTCCGTTGAGTTAAAAACTGTAAAAAGCCTATGGACACAGGTGTGAGTGTCCTGTTTGAGGTTCCCTCATGCTGCACACGGCCTGGGACACTTGTGAAGGAGGTTGGCCTTCATCTCCAGAGGAACCGCCAATTCCTCCAGAGTGTCCTGGGCAGGAGCTGGCTGCACAGCACACAGACCCAGCTTATTGCCTTCAGATCTGGACGGTGAAGCCCAGGCAGAAGGTTCCATCTCTGTTGCTTTCTGGGTATCAGGGTGACAGAGGAAGATGAGGAGGAGAAAGTGGGCATCGCCCTCCACAGTGTCCCCCATTGTGCAGCATCTGAGGTGCTCGGCACACTAGCATTACCAGTTACGTGAGGCGCTAGAGTGTGAGAATGATGTCCAGAAGAAACGGTTGTCACAAGGAAATTCCTTTATAAAGAACCCATCTTCAGAGGCCGGGGAGATGGCTCAGCACCAAGGACTCTTCCAGAAGATGAATGTGGCTGCCAGCACCCACACTGGGTAGCTCACAGCTTGGAGGAACCTGGGACCTGCATCATATCTACACATAAATAGACATCAAAATAAACATTGAAAAGAGAAAGATTCCACCAAGTCTCTGGCTTACACTCAGGCGAGCACAGAGCCTGGTCGCAGTGAGGTGGGCACTGGTGAGTCCTGGCCTGCGGCAGCTCAGAGAAGCCTGATGCCAGATTTGTGTGGGATCAAAGAAAAGTGACTCTGAGCCCCAGGACTTGTCCCTCCCCACTCCCTGGCATTGTTCAGAGGGCGAAACAAAGGCAGATTTATGCACAGACGGGAGCTTCAAAGTCCACACATCAAGGGTGTAGATCAAAACTTAAAGACACAGTTCTGACATAACATTTTATATTTTCAAAAAAAATCACAAGAAAAAGATGAACGATCCAAAAAGAATAGATTCACTTTTATTTCCATTTAAATGCTTCAAAGCGAAAAGTCTGGGGGTCTGGACACTGTGTTGCTGCCGTTAGGCAGACTGGGCCTCTCATTCTCTCTTCCAATTCTTCCATCTCTTGTTAAGAGTCACTTTCCACAGTGATGGGGTTGGCACTTTGCTTATCAAGTGACAGTTGCCATGGAGTGTGTACTGCATCAAAATAAAAGTCGAACATTTCTATCCAAGCAGCTCACAGGTTTACCATACCACTACATGGATCTAAAAACAAACAAAACTGGCTCCAAAACAAACGCTATTGGGAAAGTTTGGCAGGTTCCAAAATCACATGTATGTACCTACCAGATGGCCAGCCGCTCCATCCCAAGGTATTTATTCAAGAAAACAGAAAACATATGCCCATCTGAAAACTTTTCCAGGAATGTATATGGCCACTTATTTGTAATTGCCCTAAACTGGAAACCATCCTCGTGGCAATCCTCCTGCCTCAGCCACCTGAATGCTGAGATTATAGGTGTGTGTTATTATACCTGGCTCATCTTAGCACTACTGCTACCAACACACACAAATGTGCACTGTGACTGTCTCTCATTTGTTTTTCTTTAACAGGGGCTAGCTATGCAGCCATACCTTCTACTTTGTAATCCTCCAGTCTCCAATTTTTCTTTTAAGCAAGACATGTGTGTGTGTGTGTGTGTATGTGTGTGTGTGTCTTTGTGTGTCTGTGTATGTGTGTGAGTGAGTGGTTGCCATGATGTGTTTATGGGTGCCCTAAGGAAGCCTGAAGAGGCATCAGATTCCCTGGAGCTGAATTTGCAGGCAGCTGTGAGCCACTCACTGTGAGGGCTGGAAGCAAACGCAGGTCCTCTGGAAGAGCTAAAAGTGCTCATAACAGCTGAGCCATTCCTTCAGCCCCACCTGACTTTTTAATAAACAAACAAACAAACATGGATCAGGGGTCAGAATCAGAACTCCATGTTCTCAAGGTTCACATGACTAAAGGAAGACCTATGTCTTGGTAAAGAAGTAGACATGTAGGTCTATGGTACATTTAGAACCCCAAACAGTCATGACCAGTGAGAAGCCTCCCCACTCCAAGAACATAAGACAAAGAAATGATACTGAAGACTGCAAGAGAGAAGTGCCTGTCATTCACTGTGGCTCACCCTGCAATCACAACCCTTACGAGGCTGAAGCAGGAGGGTCCTCGTGTATGTGAAGCCTGCCTGGGCTCCAGAGTGAAACCTGGTTTCCAAGAACAAAACTCCAGGCCAAAGACTCTAGAGGGGTTGGGCACGGTGTCAACTCGCCTGTGGCTATGAGCCCATCAGAATACCAGTGTGGTTCTCAACAGATGCTCCAAAGGTCAGGAGATGGGAAAGGATGTTTTTCAAACCCTGGAAGAAAATACCTGCCAACCTTGATTACTATATATAGCAAAGTTGTTTCTCCAAGTTGAAGGAGAAATAAAGACCTTCCAAGATATATGCAAAGAGATACGTAAAGGAGTCTTTCTTACACACAGGAGCTGAAGAGCACAGACAGAATATACCTTTCTAGAGCTTATAGAGTTTGGCCAAAATAAATTATAATTTAGGTGATAAGACAAGTTTTACATAGTAAGAAAAACATTGGAATAACTTCTTGCATCCTATCAGAGTGCAATGGAATGAGGTCACAGATCAACAACAGGAAGGTTATACAAGAACGTAGAGATTGAGCAATACTCTTTCAGTTGAGTGTGGAGTATTAGAGGGGATTTTAAAAACCTCTTGGAGTCAAGAGCACAGCATAACAGAATCCATGGGCTACTGCAAAGGCGTTCTATGAGAACAGTTTATGTTTACAAGAGGCTAGCTTAAAAAATCAGAGCAGTCTCAGATAAATAACACAATGATGCATCGCAAGGTCTTGGGCGGGGGGGGGGAGAAGAAAAGCAACTAAGCCAGGAGCAGAGATGAAAAGACCAGAGCTGAAATTAACTAGATAGACTCTGAACAAATAGCACAAAGGATCAACGAAGCAAAGAGTTCGCTCTTTGAAAAGATTAACAAATCTCCGGCCATACCATCCTGAACACAGCTGACCTCATCTGCAATGATTAAGCAGATGGACAAACTGATGGTCAAACTAACCAAACAGAAGAGAAGACTCAAACCCATAGACTTACAGACAGAAAAGAAGTTAACAGAACAGGTACCACCGAAATCCAGAGAATCACTAGGAATTATTTTTTAAACTAATACGTCACTAAATTGACAAACATAGAAGAAATGAAAATACTACTAGACATGCATGACTTACCAAAATTGAACCAAGGGAATATAAAAAAGTCAATGTAGATCAATAGTAAGTAGCAAAATTAGTTAGCAATTAAAGGGTCCTGCAGTGATTAGCGTTGTCAATGGAGGGATCTAGACTCACCGGGGAGACAAGCCTCTAGACACTACTGTGAAGAATTATCCAAGTTAGCTCAGTCTCAGGCTTGCCTGTGTGGGCTTATCTTGGTAAGTTCATTGAAACAGGAAGACCTGCCCATTGTGGGTGTCACCATTCCCTGGGATAAGAGCCTGTACTGTATAAAAAGGAGGAGAGGTCAGTCACCACTCCATTGTTCTGTGGGACAATGGTCTGTACCCTGTCAATTGTATCTTAATAAAGCACTGATTGGCCAGTAACCAGGCAGGAAGCATAGACGGGGTAACCAGGTCAGAATTATAGGCAGGGTGAAGAGAACAGAAGGATTCTGGGAAGAGAAAAGTTCAGTCTGCAGTTGTTACCCAGATACAGAGGAAGCCAGACAAGAGCAAGCAAGGTGTGACTGCCTCATCGAAAAAGGTACCAAGCCACATGGATAACACAGACAGGAATTATGGGCTAACAGAAGTTATAAGAGTTAATAAGAAGCGTGAGTTAATATGCCAACCAGTTCATGATTAATGTAGACCTCTGTGTATTTATTTGGGACTGAACTGCTGTACTACTGGGCAGGACAGAAACCTCGGTCAACACCATTCGATGTGTTGTGACTGGCTGCTTCAAGCTCCTGTTGCTGACTTTGCCTTTCACGACAGCCTGCACACGTGAACCCAAAAGAAGTCCTTCCTCTCTTAAGTTGCTTTTACCAGAAGATTTTATCACAGCAACAGAAAAAGAAACCAAGACAGCTCCTGACAAAGAAACGCCCAAGGCCAGAGAGACTAACTACTGAATCTTACCAGACCCTTAAAGACAAACTAACACCAAAGTCCCCCAAAGTACTCTGTAGACCTGAAAGTGGGGATAGACGTCCCTTGGCAAACATAGATGTAGCCAAAGTGTGTGATACAGGGTTCCATGTTTAGAAAAGTATCACTTTAATAATGGGGGTAAATTAGTGAAAGGTGATCTCGGCCTGCCGTAACAAAGTTGGAAAAGTAAGTGTGGAAATAAACACTACAGTCAAAGTAACTGTGCAGAGACAAAACTCAACAGTCTTGTGAGTGGTGTGTGTGTGTGTGTGTGTGTGTGTGAAAGAGAGAGAGAGAGAGAGTAGTATATGTGCATGTATCATAAGTGTGCTGTGTGTGTGTGAGACTGTATTGTAGTATATGTGTCTGTATATTATGTGAGTGTGATATGTGTGTGTAGCAAAGATACATGTATATGTAGTGAGTATGCGCACACTCGTGTACATGTACATGGAAGCCAGGGGTTGATGTCAGAAATGTTCCTCTATCACTCTCCACGTCCTTTTGAAATAGCTTCTCACTATCTTAGGTTTCTATTGCTCTGATAAAAACACCATGAACAAAGGCAACCTGGGGAAGAAAGGGTTGATTCAAGCCTACAGCTCTTGGGTCACACTCAAACACCAAGGGAAGTCAGGGCAAGTACTCAAGGCAGAGGTTAACCCAGAGGCTGGAATGAGGGGCATTGATGTCTGGCTTGCTTCCCATAACTTGCTCAGTCTGCTTTTTTATACCATCCAGGACTACCTACCCGGGGGTGGCACTGCCCTCCATGGACTGGGCCCTCCCCCATCAATCATTAATCAGAAAAATGCCCTACAAACTGGCCTGCTGCTCACTGAACTTGTAGCTCACCCATTTGACTGGACCAGCTGACCAGTGAGCTCCTCTCCAATGCTGGGGTCATAAATGTGTACCTTTGTGTCTGATTTCTGTGTGGACACTGGAGATCTGAATTCAGGTCCTCATGTTTGTGCATCTGAGCCATCTCACCAGCTCCGAATGTCAACACTCTTTAAAGGAATAAAACAAACTCAAGTCAACACTATAAACTTTCTGTTATCTGACTTCCAGTAGAAAATCATCAGTCATATGGATATAGCAAGGACATATGACTCACAACCAGAAACAAAACAAAACAAAACAAAATAGAAAAAAGAAAAAGAAAAGTCAAGGAATGATCAAGGCCTTGGAACTAGCAGCAAGGACATTGAAATGACTATTTAAAATCTTGTAAGTATACTCAAGGATGTTCCAAGAAACACGGAGTCAATTATGAGAGAAATGGAAGATACAAAAGAAACTCAAATAGAACTGATGGATGTTGAAATACAATATTCTGGAAAAAACAAATCTGGATAGAAATCATTATTTCATGAATACTAGAACATAATTCTAGGCTGTTGGGTGATAAACGAGCCGATGTTTCTTTAGGGATGGAACAAACCCAGTGTTATACACTCTTGTGCTTCAGCCTCCTCTTCAAACAACGTGTCTTGATTGCAGTGTTTCCATCATGGGGGGGGTATACAGCTCATGCCTGTCTTCTCTAGTGTGAGGATCATGTGAGCAGAGCAGGCTTTCATTGATCTCTGTGCTGGGCTCAGCACAGTGTCAGGTATGAAGTCAATACAATGTGGATAGAAACATGGATGGACGATGGATGGATGGATGGATGGATTGATGGATGGGTGGATGGATGGGTGGGCGGATGAATGGGTGGATGGGTGGGTGG